CGACTACAAATGTTAACGCTCCACTTCTCTCTTTTGTTCGATTACAACTCTCATCCACTATTTCAAGCTCGAAATAAATACTTGTCTCTTTCTGATAATGTGTCCATCGTTGAAAAGTTGTGTAGGGAAAAAGATGAACGTTCAATTCTCCTCCTCTTGAATGGAAAAGATTTGTGATATTATGAAATAAAGTTTGTCAACATTCTAGTGACATAGTTTAACTGAAAGTAACCAATCGTTTGATGCTTTCTCTCATTCAGAATACTGACGAACTTTACTAGTGAATTGCTATTTGAATGAAGATTGATTAGTTGATATGGTGAAGTACACAAATATTTCAAGGATAATGGTTCAGTATACTATAACGAAATACAAAATATAAAAATGCATCCGAAACTTTCCTGATTGTACTTAGAAGAGTGAATCACATGACAAAAAGACCTTAATGAGTAATAGTAATAAAGTAAAAAATTTAAATGATGCATTGAAACACGTTGGAGAGAATTATCATTTTTAGAAAAAAATCATATGATCTGATGAAGCCAAATTTCATTTATATGTTTCTTTCCGTTTTTGATATTAGATAAGAGACATTATGCTATTGTTGGCTATATTCAATTATATTCATTGAAGAGATTCAACTGTAATTAAGAAGACTGAAGCTGAAACTAATTTAATTTCGTTTTCTTATGTGAATGATGAGGTGTACGAAAACTTTGAGCGGATCGTAAACTTTACAAGTTTAATATTTTTAGCTTAAGAATATCAAATTTTTGCGTAATCAAAATGAAACTTTTTGCAAATATACTGCAAAACTTCAGCTACGTATTAATGAGAGCTAGAACTTAAAAGGTCAAACTGTTGCAAGGATATTATAATAAGAAGGTTATTCGTCAGCTGTACGAATAATGTTCAGAGCTTTTGTACATCGAGCAGCACTTTTGATGGATATGGTTCATCAAAAGTAAATAAGATGATGTCACTATCAATAAAAATATCCATTGATTGCAATATTACCCGTTCTTTCTCATTCACACTCACATTATTGGTGTGAACTAATCGCTGATGTATCGAAAAAAAGACATAGCTCTTGAAGCTTCACTTAAAGACATACATCTTCACTTCAATGACTTAGTATATTCTAAATCGCTTAATTTTTCTTTACAAAATTGATATATACAATAGTTTCACATACTCTTATGAAGAGATCTCTATCAATACATTAATCTGATAATAATGACGTTACATTGAAAAAGAAATACATTTAAAAAGTCGAACTAATTAATCGAGTTTTATTCCAAGTTCTTTCGAAAGTCGCTCAATATTCAATGCCATCTTTCGTAGATTGGCATGCCAAGAAGGTAGACATTTCCTATAGATAGCTAATGCTTGTTGATAGTAATCAAGTGCCACCGTAGGTTTATGCAGGTTTTCGTAAATCTCACCTATTTTCGATAAACTATGGCCAATGTCTTCATGGACTGGTGGTAGAACTTTGACACGCATTAAGAAACAATTTTGTTCATATATAAGACAAAGCCCATGATCACCTCTCCTTTTTTGTATATTAGCGATGTTGCTTAAACTATCAGCAATGTTCATGGAATCAGAAGGATAATATTGTTCTCGTATCATCAATGCTTGTTGTTGGAACTCGATAGCTTCATTGTACTTTTCTTGATCTCTTAGAACATTAGCTATGCTCATCAGACTAATAACAATTCCAGCATGATTAGTTGCATCAAAGTTCTCTCGGACTGTTAGTGCTCGTTGATGAAAGTCAAGAGCTTCATCATACTTTCTTTGCCAATGTAGAGCTTTTCCAATATTGCTAAGAACGGTGGCGATTCCAACATAACTTAATGGATGCAACTTTTCTCGAATAATTAATGATCGTTGATAGAATTCAATAGCTTCATCATATTTCTCTTGGCTATATAGAATATTACCAATTAAATTCAAGTTTTTTGCGATACAAACATGAGCTAATTCATGATGTTTTTCTTGAATAGTCAACGCTTTTTGATAAAGCTGAAGAGCTTCATCATACTTCTTTTGTTCATATAGAGTATTACCAATGGAGCTGAGAGTATGAGAAATTTCGATGTGATTATCAGGATAGAAATTCTCTTGCATGGCAAGTGCCCTTCGATAATAGTCATTTGCTGCATTATACTTTTCTTCATTGTACAAAACATGACCGATACGATTGATGGTATCAGCTATAATAACACTGTCTAATGGATAATATTTCTCTTGAATTTCTAGTGCTTTTTGATGATATTCAATCGCTTGATCGAATTTCTGTTGTTTACGAAATATAGTGCCAATATTAATGGATGTTATCGCAATATTCACATGACCATTTGGATAATACTTCTCTTGTATTTCAAGTGCACATTGATAAGATTTCAATGCTTCATCGTATTTGTCTTGTTTAATGAGAACATTACCGATATAATTTATAGTGTTGGTGATTTCACGTTGACATGATGGACAAGATTTTTCTTGTATTTCTAGTGCTCGTCGATGATAATCAAGAGCTTCATCATACTTTTCTTGTTTGTACAATGTAATTCCAATGTTGTTCATATAAAAAGCAATGGAATATCGATCAAATGGACTGTGTTTTTCGACAGTTGATAGTGCTCGTTGAAGAAACTCAATAGCTTCATTGTACTTTCCTTGATCACTTAGGATGTTGCCAATGTTGTTAAGACTTGAGGCTGTTGAAGCATTACCCGAAGGATAATAGTTCTCTTGCATTGTAAGTGCTCGTTGACAATAGCATAGAGCTTCATCATATTTTGATTGACAAACTAGTACATTAGAGATGTAGTTGAGAGTGTTAGCAATGTTTGCATAATAAGATGGATAATATTTCTCTTGCATTGCTAATGCTTGTCGATGAAAATCAAGGGCTTCACTATACTTTCCTTGTTCATTTTGTATATAGCCAATATTGTTTAAAGTACAAATAATGTCATCGTGACCGTTAAAATAATATTTCTCAAGAATTGTCAGTCCTTGTTGATAAAAAGACAGAGCTTCATCATATTTTCCTTGTCCATAGTGAACATGTCCTATTCCATTTAGACTACAAGCAATATCGACATGACCATTCAGATGACACTTTTGTTGCATTGCCAATGCTTGTTCGTGTACCTTGAGAGCATCATCAAACTTTCCTTCACGGTAGAGAATATAACTGATGTAATTGAGGGTAGAGGCGATGTATACATGACCATTTGGATAATATCTTGCATAGATTGATACTGCTTGTTGACACAAATCGAGGGCTTTATCGTAATTACTTTGATGAACAAGGGCAATGCCAATGTACATAAGACTAATGGCGATATCGATATGAGGAAATTGATAATATTCTTCGAGCATTGCCAGTGCTTGTTGATGAAAGATAAGTGCTTCATCATACTTGGCTTGTCGGACAAGGATTTTTCCGAAGCCATGAAGATTAGTAGCAATAGGCACATGACTATCTAGACAAGTCGGGCTTAGCTGCTGTAACCAACCAATTTCCTTTAAGCTTCGACACATTTCTTGTAACTGAGTGGTGCTCAACTGTTCGTCCACAAGCTTTTTTCTATTTGTCGTAGATTTTGAACGAAACCAAAGTGAAGTTCCTCGAAATTTTCTACTCCAATACCATCGAGAAAACGATTGAAATAATCCAAATGAATTCAAGAAAGTCGACCGAAACGACGCGCAAATACCACTCAGCACATTTTTGCGTTCGCGGTTCCATGGACAGGATCTATCAACCTTGCCAGACGAATAAGTTGTCTTTCGTATGGCTAAGGCTCGTTCATAATAATCAAGAGCTTCTTCGTATTTTCCTTCTTGATAAAGTATTTCACCAATATTGAAGAGTATATCTGCTGAATCCTTCATCCGTCTTGGTTTCACATTCATCATTCGTTCATAAGCACAATCATAATATTTTCGGGCTTCACTCCATTCTCCTTTCCATTGAAGAACTTCACCAAGGTTATATTCAATCTTTGCGATATCTTCATTGTAGATATTCGAGTTGTTCAATAAGTATTGAAAAAAGTGTTGTGCCTGATTCCATTGACCCATATCACACATCAATCGGCCAAAGAGAATTCTGATGCTTAGATCTTTCATTTGACAATCTGAATCTATGATATATTTTTCTTTGATCATTTGACCTTGATTCGATACACTCATTTTAATCAACCACATATTTTCCTGCATTTTCACACTCTCCAATCGAAAAGTGACATTTGAATCGAACAGAATTTCTTGTTGTTCTTCACATGTTAATTCACAGAAATAAACACTACTACCTAACTGTTGTAGATCGCATTGAATTTCTAATAGAACCGAAATGAGATCAGTTTGTTTGGAGGATTTCATTGCTTGATTCAATGCAGTTGAACAAAGAATACTTGTTGTAAAAAATCCATTGATTAAAATCAATTTACCTTCGTTCTCTTTGAATTTCTGAATTTGATCACTTTTCAATTTCATTCCTCGATATGTGAATAGTATTTCTTTACCAGATTGAATCATCTTTTGATGTTCTCGAACAAGATTTTCTGTTAAATCTCTCATAAAATATCGAAATATGTAGAGTTGATCGAAATCTTTGGTTCTTAATGCTTCGTTGATGATTTTGTAGAGAAATGATTTTTTCGAATACCATCGAAGAGCTTCTTCTGATTGATATTCATTTTCAAACTTCTCAATCACTTTCAATTCTTTGATATTATCTCGATAATAAGAACGAGATGCATTGATCATTTCTTGTTTAGCTTCTTTATTGTATGTTAACTCAAAGAGAACATCATGATATAGTTGAAACCAAAGAAGATCAGCAGTTTGTTTCGATAAATCTCTTGTCAAATATTCTTCTTGATCAAAGAAACTGAATATTTCTAAATGTCGATTGAGAAAATCGACTTGTTCTTGAACTGATAAATACAATAGATCGAATTCATCATAGATACCAATAAGTTTTGTATGTTCAAGAAATAAATGTTGATGATCGATTTTTTTCCAATTGAAGACAAAGATGCTGTCAATTTGAGGTAATGTTGCAATATGAGATAATATTTGTGATGTAGCATCAATTGAAGAGATGAAGATGATTCTGTCATTACGAAGTGATTGAATGAAAGTAATGCAAGATTGGAGTTGAGTGTGAAAAACAACATAATCATTGATTTGACGTAGTTGTTTAATTGTTTGTTCTAGATGAGTATTGGAATTGATATTTGAGTCGAACCAAATCAAAGTAATATCCTCTTTATTGTTAGTTGTATTCATTGTTTCTAATGAATTTTTCATGATAAATGAATGTGTTGCAGTGGATGATAGAGATATTAAGATAGTTGTTCAATGGAAATGTCACTAAGACACTTGAATAATAAGACGATCGATTTTATATCTTGCAACAATGAAAAAGCTGTAATATTTCAAAACACAAAAATATCTGTCAGTGTCTAAGCCACTCATCGTGTCATCAGCATCAATGAGTTTCCTAGATTTCTGAAGGATTTTTGACTCAGAATGTTCTATCATATTGCTGAGTGAGTAATTCTACTCAGATATAAATTGATAGTGAGAAGGAATCTATTAGAGGCATGATCGTTGCAATTCTCTTGTAATGAACCAACTTTTCCCAACATTTCAAAAAAGATCTAAGTAATGGTTCATTTTGCAATATATATTCCGAGAAAAATACAAAGTCTCAATCATCCTCTTAAATATTTCATCATCATGATAAAGTCACATATTAGAAAAGTTTCTAGATGATTTGAGAGCATCACAACAATATCGAATCGATTTTCTAAAATCGTAATTTTTAATGATGAAGCAAGAAAAAAGTAATTATTTCATCTCTTCGTGTGACTCTGCTCACCACTTTGAATGGGACTTGTAGAATACGTGATGATGTTTAAATGTGCGCAATGATGGGCTAGTGACGCATATATATATGATTGAAAAGTAGTTGTTTTTTATCCAACTACAACGTGTTTATATGTACAGAGAGAGCATATTTTCTCTGACAACGTGACTAGACTACGCAATAGAGATGCGTCACGCTATTGATTCTGTTCTCCTCCGTCCTTGTACAGCATTAATCCTCTCTCCTTTAATTACTCATTTTCTAACTTTATGTACATCGTAATTTTCTTCAAACTCATGACGATGCCTATTTGTGAATAATAAAATTCTGCCTAAATTTAAAAAAAAAGAGAAAAGCTAAGAAGTTTCAATTTTGAGCAGCTAATTAGAAGAGAAATGAATCAAATTATCAAGGATTGTTTGAGAAGATGCTTATTATTATTCTTTGAGTGTTTTTGCTAACTGTAGATTGATCTGTGAATTAAATAGTGTACTTTAAACAACACTCAAATGTTAACAATAACTCATGTTCAATTGAATCTACATCCGAATATTCGAATCTATAATCACAATAAAGTGCACTAGAGCGTGTCAAAATAACTTCATTAAGACTCACTATTTAGAGATTTTGCTGAATAATCTATAAAATTTAAAAAAGAAATAAGTACATGCAAAGCTCATAGTTGTGTGCTAATGCATGATTTTTACTCATAGTGATCATTAGTGATTTGACTCTTTCCATGGTATGACAGTGGCGGATTTAGTGGGGGGGGCGCTTGGGGCGATCGCCCCCATTCGAAAAAAAAATTTTCGATTTTTCCCAGCAGAAAAGACTTAAAAATAGAGTGCATACTACTACTAATGAACTTCAAAACTCGATTTTTGGTCAAAATCGCCCCATATCTATCAAATCGCCCCTTATCGAAAAAATCCTAGATCCGCCGCTGTGGTATGATTAGCTTTTTCGGTTCAAACAAATAGATTGAAAGAAGTTTTTACCAGTAATATCATCTCGAGCATCATTAGCCGAGCTTATCTCCTACATACTTTGTTCAAGATCAAATTTAATGTTTGTTTATAAATATTACGTGAGAAAATTCAAAAGTTGGAGTGTAGCAATCAGCTGATGTATAAATTACTCTTTTTCTCGCACTATATTTTTGTCTCTCACAAATTCATATTCGAGAAACCAAATAGATGTAGACGACAAGAATATGATGTTTATTTCTAGGATTTGTAAAAACTTAAGTGAATAAAGGGAAGTGAATGTTTTTTGAAGCCACTTGCATGAATCAATTCATAATGATTTAACTAATCTGTCAGTTTATGTCTTTTCTCATCGTCTTGACAGGTTTCAATCCTGGAAGAGCTTCGATTTTTATTATCAGAAGCCTTGCGACGGGATTGAGAATAACACTAATTGCAATACAATTGTTCCAGAAAAGACAAATGTAAAACTGTAGGTATTGACAACGATGTTGCGCTCCTAATATGAATTTGATAACCTGAAAAATCTCTGTGCCCTGGTCAATTTTTACGGATCTAAAAATATTTTTAAATTGGCTGGACTGAATAAGTCTAGTATTTCTTAATTGATTACAACTGAGCCACAGTCATATCCGCACAATACTAATATTAAGTAGATGTAATACGTTTTGTTTTGAATTTGCTTTTGGAAGAATAGAATAGAAAATTTTTAATAATAAATAAGTGTGAAACTATTTTATGTATTGTTCCATTATTTAATTCGGTTAAATGTGCACATAATTTACATATGATGATAATTAGGTTTTGATTTAAGGTCATTAAAGCTTTGTGACGATCATTAGTGATGAATACTACTGACGAAAATAACACTCAAAAGCGAAGGAAACATTTAGTCGAATGCTATTGTTCAATTACAGAGTAGTTCAAATCCGGGTGATAGAACATAACTGTTCGATGACGATTACTACACCGTTTACCCGTCTGAATAAGATAATAATGTGGACAATATTGTGTCCTGAGAACAGTTATTGACTTTTTTCAATATACTTTTATTTCTATATGAAATTGCGATGTTTTTGTTTTTATTTCAAACTGTACATATGAGCATTCATGGATTTCATCCACTCAGTGGTAAATGCAGCAGTCTACCTTGATAAATGGCATATTCTAAATCAATAAAGTTTTCCATTATCATTATTGTTTGGTGTATTGAATAGTACTTCTCATAAAAATTTTTACCTTTATTTACATCATTCATTATATTGTTATGGCTTTACGTTTAAAAATATATTTCGTCTGTAGTTGAGGATGAACGAAATACGAGGATTTCATTTCTCAC